ATGTCATTCCTCGGTTTGGAACTCCGCCTGGCTGGTTGTGTTGGACTTGAAGCCGGCTCAATTGGATGCGATTCAACAATATGCTTATACTTACCTGTTACATTTACACTCATTCAACAGAGCATCATTATTGGAATCTTCTCTACCATCAGAAAGACAAGACTATTGTTCAAAAAGGCATTCCATCCTTTGGACCTTTGAAACACGTAAAAATGATTAGGACAACCCTTATTATTGTACAAGTATTTGGAAACTGTTATGATGTCTAAGAGTCTCATCTGTTTATATACATGAACCTAGAAAGTGAGATGGATTGCTTGATATAACTGAAAATGCTGTACTCATCCAGCCACATTGGTTAGTAAAAGTTTCTGTTGTCAGCCAAAGGAATAAGGAGGATCTTCTCTATAATAGTCTGATCAGCTTGCTTGCGTTTCTAATTCCATAAAGATACTGCTCAAGAGAACTCATATTTTGCCACGACTTTCAGGTACTTTTTAGGATTCTGATGCTTTTCTACTCGATTGCCTGCATATACCATCCGAAAAGAAGGATGATATAATTCCTTCCATACCTTGATAATGCTTATAGTGTTCATGCTCTTGGTTTTGACCTTCAGCTAGTTGCAGACGCTGTCATTCTTTTCTGTGGAAAGAATGTGAATATCAACTGTACACATTGGAACAAGTATGTGGTGTTTAATTTAATTGTGAGATTTCTTCTATGGATCGCATTTTTAATGATCTGAATTTATCTCAAAAGGCAGGAGATTTTCTAGGTTCCACTGGTAGGCCTTCTGACTTCAAAGTACGAGGCAAGTGATACACAAGAATGACGGATTTCTATTTCTCAGAATCACCTGTACAGTATATGGGTCTTGATCAAGATTTTTTTTTTTTTTTTACCTCCTGCTCATATTAATTAATTATATGTGTTGTGATATAACATGTCCAAGTAAATTTGGTTTCACAGTAAAGCTTTTTTTTTTTTTTCTTTTTTTCTCCTCTGGGTCTCATTAGTTAATGGAGAGATTCTGTTTTCAACTCTTACAAGTATGATCTTTGGTTTTCATTTGTTAATGGAGATATTCTGCTTTTCAGCCATTACTTTACCAATATGACTAGACCGAAGCTCAACATTTTTATGAAGTTTGAGATGTTGTAATAATAGGGGTTATGTTAGCAAATGTGGAATTTGTCAAGCATACATTCTGTAATTAGTATCTTGTTAATAAAAATTTAGTTTAAAATATTGTTGGCCCAGCATGTACTGTTAATTAAATTCTATTTTTCTAGGTTAGATATTTCTAAAAGGTAAAAAGATTATTTTCATTTCACTAACCAAATAGGAAATGATGGATCGAATCCCGTCACCCACGTACAAATAACTCCACTCCATGTACAAAATCACTCTCCCATGACTTCATTCACAGGGATTCTCACTCCCCCTTGATCGGCTGTTACTCACTCTTCTCCTTGTATAGCCATCCTATCTACCTTAAATACTCTACACAAATATTTATAACACTACACAACTCCATATAATTCTAAAATCTTATATTCACATGCATATATTTACAAATTCTTCAATACTTTAAGGCTATATTTGACTACATGAAATTAGAGTCTTGGAATTGAAGTTGGTGGAATTGAAAAAAAGCTAACTAAAAAAATTAATGTTTGACTACATGGAATTAGAGTCTTAGAATTGAAATTGGTAAAATTAAAGAAAAGCCAACTAAAAAAATTAAACTAATTTTTTTTCCATTCTACCAATTCCATACAACCGAACACGTCCTAAGACGGTTAAATATAATCAACTAGAAAAGGAAGAATTTTTTTTAAAATTTTTAAGAAAATTTGTTTCTAACACTTATCTATTTTCCTCCAAAAACTTTTCCTGTGCAAAATTAAATCGTGAAAATAATATTTTCACATGAAAAGAGTTATTTTTTATTCCATATTCCTATTTTATCCAATATTTAATTGGGCAAAACAACTTTTCAAAAAAAGATTAACTTGTTTAATGATTTTTTTTTTTACTGGTTTATGGAGGCTCATCTAAGCTCTTTATTTTTTATTTTTTAATATTTGTTTGATCTAATAGTTGATGAGTTGATAATAATATACTTGCAACAACTATATATAATTTTACCCGAAAGAAAAATATATAATCAATAATTTTTAAAAATAATTTTTTTTCTTAAACTAATATTGTAATTAGTTTATCTAAAAAATATTATGAAGCCTTATTTTAAATATAAATAATAGAAATAAATATTAAACAATTATATTATTAAATTTAATAATCCATCATTTTACTATTTCTTTACTAGAAGTAGATATCATCAAACACAAATTTGTTTATTTTTTTAACATTTGAAATCATTAGCAAGAAACTCATACACCCATTTTGCTTCATTGGGGATTCGAACCCACATCATCCACTTTGAAAGGTAGAGATGATACGGGTGGCCCTTGATTTTTTTTTCACTTTCATGCTATCCAAATTAACTAACTATTATTTTCCTACCATTTTCTTGAATAAAATTTTATGCTAACATTATACATACTAGAATTTTTTATTTTTTATTTTTTTATTTATTTTATTTTTTTATTTATTTTATTTTTTTTATTTTTCATTCACTTCACTTTTATTTATTTTCTTTTATTACTTATTTCCATCTAACCAAACACAGCTTAAGGTTATATTCAATAGCACGGAATTGGAGGCAACTTTGAAATTAGTGAAATTGGAGAAAAGCAATTCGAACTAAATTTTTTTCCAATTCCATACAGTCGAAGACAACTCAATATTCTCTAAAATTCTAGAATCTTCTTCTCCATATAATTTGGAAAAGGCTCTATAACTCCATTTTACTCATGACAAACTATGTAGCACACACATGGCTACAGAAAAAGGACACGAAACAACACTGATACGTCGACACGTTAAATTTTTAAAAAGTAGGACACGAATACAACGTGGATACGACTACATATAAATATAAAATTTTATTTTTATACATCTATTTAGTAATAATATTATAAAATTTTAATTAATTTATAATTTATATATTAAGAGTTGCTCTAAAATGATTAAGAAAATGAAATTATATCAGTATTGCAATAATGTTTATATCATATATACCATTATTTTACTATTTTGTCATGATAGTATTCATATTATTTTCAAAATTATTAGATATACTTGTGTTAGAAATATCTGGAAATTATCTGACATGCTCGGAAAGTGTTGGTAAAGTATCCAATATAATATATATATATATATATATATATATTAGACACGTATATAAAGTGTATACATATATCTAAAGTGTATTCGAGGAGTGTCGGTATCGGATTCCTTCGTAGGAGTGTCAGCTACTACATAGCACCCAATAGAATCTTCCTCAGCAACCTCCCGTCAAATAAGCCTTCTTAACTTAAAGTCTTAAATAAATTCAATAAACTAATATCCCATTTCAAGGCATTTTTACTATATAGTATAATTGATGTGTTAATGAAAAGTCTTACCAAAGTTTCACACCTCCACAAAGGAGTTTCGTTAAGATTAATGTTGATGCTACACTTTTTTGGGTGTGGTATGGTGATGAGAGATAATAATGGTATCGTCATTCACGCTGATCAGATTTTACTTTTCTTCAGAAAAATATCCTTTCTTCCATTGTCCAATTTTTGGTTTTGAGGAAAGCAATGTTTTACTAGTTCTTGATTGGAAGTTTCCTAGGCCCAGATTTGAGGGTGATGCTGAAGTAATTTGTACAAGCTGTTAGGCTCAAGGTGCAACTGTTAATTTCGATCTCGCTGAAGATATTGAAAAATGTTTGGCTCCAAATCACAATTTTTCGGTCATCTCCGTGCCTTGGAAAGCAAATGGTGTTGCACATCATTTAGCAGGGTGGGCTTTAAAATCAGGCGTAAAAAATTATTTTTTAATTATTTAATGATATTTCTTGTGTTTTAGTAAATAAATAAATTGAAAGATCTTACCAATATTCATGATTGGGAAATAACAAAACCATAACTTTAATGATGTATAGATTTATTTTTTTAGTTGAATTTTAATGATGTATAGATGTAGGTAAATAGTTTTCAGTTTTTGTCAATGAGAAAAAATAAATGTGAGCGACAAGCTTTTCAACAAATGGTATAAAAATCATGTCTTCTAGAGTTTTAAAGTAAAAAAAAAAAATTTAAGAGTGAGTTAGTGTTAAATACATTTTCATAATATAAAGGCTTTTTTTTTTTCAACAGGTATTAGAATTTTAATACAGAAGTTTTCAAGAAGTTTCAATGGTCTATGAGATAGAACTTGTACATTAATTTTATGTTAGTAAACAGAAAAATTACAGTTTTTTTTATTTTATTTTATATATATACAAAATACAAGCAAAGCACTTTTAGAATATACTGTATATAGGAAATGTTTGTGTGAAAAAAAAAAAAAAAAAAAAAAAAAAAAAAAAAAAAAAAAACTAATAATTTTTGTAAGTTATTTAGACAACCCTAGCGTTCACTAACCCAAGTACTTAAAAAATAAAGTCAGACAGTTCAAGATCCGAACATCGCCGATGTGTTTATCGGCGATTAATTATATACTTTTTCTCTACTGAGAGTTAGTTTTTTTTTTTTTTTAAGGAAATATCTTTATTGAGAGTTAGGTTGTTTGTCTCTATCACATTTTTCTTCATACCCTAATTGCCCAACGATTTTACCAAAAACATCCGAAATGCCACGACGGGTTAGATCTTGATTCATAGGACAACTTGAAATTACTAAAACGTCCCTATTTTGACTTTGAATGACCAAGATGCTCTTTAGTTTTAGCAGTATTCACACGCGCAGCATTGTCCGTGTCAAACAGGAGAACCATCAAGTTGAATCCATCATTTACTATACTAGGATTCACGCGCTTATATGAGAGTGGGTTCAAAATTGCATTGTTAAAAAAACATCGCTCAACTTACTCATCACTTTTTTCCTTGACTTCAACTTCAAACCTCTCTCAAAGTTCACAATCTCTTTGTTCGATTCCAAGATCCAACTACTATGCAGTGGGGTTAAATTTCAGAAGGGTTCATACTGGAAGAAGAGAACAAAACCCTAATTCAGGTTAGTCTTCTCTATGTAAATTGTACAAATTTACACTGTACACACTAATCTATAAGTTGAAGTTTTGAACTTGGAGCATTGTTTCTGTTTTCTGTAATTTTTTTCATGGTCTATGTGATTGAACTCTGCTATTGAAACTTCATGTATTGTGGGTTAGTACCTGCATATTCAAATACCCATTTGTGTTAAGAACAATTGGGTGTTCAACTTTTCTGATATATGTTAGTGCCTGGTGGGTAGCTAAGAAGTCTTGAAGAAAGTGGTTAGGGTTTAGGTTCTGCAATCATGAAGATTGTGTCTCTGGTTAATCATGGTTGGACTATGGTAATTGGGTTGTTGTTGTTGTTGTTGTTCTGCATTGGCTTCACAAATTCAGAGTATATAGATGGAGAGTTTGAGTCTAGAAATGGACATTCTGTTACCTACAAATATGATCGAATCGATGAGGTGAAGAAAGAATGTGCCTCGATTTTACGTTCTGCTTCTGAATTGAAACCCGATGATAATAGAGTGTATAGTATTAAGGAAGAGCTGACTTTTACGAATGGAGATTGGTGGCAGGAGCTAAATGGGGCACCTTTAATGCCATTTGATGATAGAAATATTTCGAATGGTTCAATGGATCTCCGATCTCCATTAAAATTGGTTTCCTTCTGGGTTACTGACGTGGATCGTGCTCATAGATCTAAGAAGTCAGTCAGTGTCAGTGGTGCTATGCAAATTGGCATGACACTAGATGGCATATATATGGAAAAACCGTATGAGGGAAGTCCTCAGTTTACTATATGGCCCCGTCACTCTCAACTCTCTGTCTTTTTCCAGGGGATTTCCATGGAATTGGAAGAAAACGGTGGGGAAAGAGTGATGTGTTTGTTGGGAACCACAATGTTGCCTTCTCGTCAGCCTGATTCTAGTGATCCATGGGAGTGGGTAAAGATATCTGGTTATGAGAATCAGCCGCCTCTTTTGCAGGATGATGAAATCTTGCTTGTTCTCCATTACCCAAAGAAATTCAACTTGACAAAAAGAGCCATTCGAGGAAGCATGAAAAGTTTAAACCCGAAATCCAACCTTAAGTACTTTGATGAAGTCCACATTTCTTCCTGGATGGTTTCTTCTGCAAAGTATGAGTTTGGCTCCGATCAGATTGTGGGAAAAGCATGTCATCCATACCCATATGAGGACCGATTGATGAGTGGCAACATTGATGTGTATAAAGGTCCTCAATTTTGTTCAATTCTTGAGCGAGTTAATAGTAATGGGAATGGTATGACTATTATGCCAAACTGGAGATGCAATAGCACTGATGATTTTTGCAGCAAGTTGGGTCCATTTATGTCAGATAAGGAGATTAATGCCACAGATGGGGGCTTTAAAGATGTTAAACTTGTCTTGCAGGATGCTCGATGTGAGGAAGAAACTTTAAAGAATGATGGTCTTGTAAGGGTTTCTGCAGTGTTTAGAGTAGTTCCTCCGAATCAATTCAATGCAGCGGTGAGGACTGGGCTCAATAACATGACTCTTTCTGCTGAAGGAATCTGGAAATCTTCCAGTGGGCAGCTTTGCATGGTTGGTTGCCCTGGACTTGTTGATGCAAAAGGAAATGGTTGTGATTCTCGGATCTGTTTGTATATTCCTCTTTCATTTTCCATTAAGCAACGCAGCATAATTATGGGGACTTTTTCGAGCATTAATGGAAGTACCAGATCATACTTCCCTTTATCATTTGAAAAACTGGTAGAACTTTCAGAGCTGTGGGATCCGGACATTGCTTTCCATGCACATTACAAATACTCGAAACTTGATTCAGCTGCTGCAGTCCTTGAGAAAAATGAGCCCTTTAACTTTGGAACTATCATTAAGAGATCATTGCTGAAATTCCCCAAACTAGAAGACACAGAGGCGTTTCTAAGCAGTCTCTCTCTTCTTTCAGAAGATTTAACACTTCATGTTTCTGCATTTCCTGATCCAATTCCTACTTACGTTTCCCAAAGAGTTGATCTACAGGTGGAGATTGTTTCAGTTGGTCCCTTGTTTGGTCACCGCTGGTCTTCACAAAATGGTTCCACTACAGAAGAGGAGACTCCTTACCATTCCAAGGCTGAGTACACAGAAAAACAGCTTCTTCTGAATGTATCAGCTCAACTCAGGCTTACTGGAAAACCCTACAACAATGTCTCTATGCTTTTTGTAGAGGGTCTTTATGATCAACGGGTTGGGAAGATGTATCTAATTGGTTGCAGGGATGTTCGCGCCTCATGGAAGGTTCTGTTTGAAAGCATGGACCTTGAGGCTGGGCTAGATTGCTTAATCGAAGTGGTCGTATCATATCCGCCTACTACAACTCGGTGGTTGATCAATCCAAGAGCTAGGATTTCCATATCTAGCCAACGAAATGAAGATGACCCCCTCTATTTTAGTCCAATCAAGCTCCAGACTCTTCCAATTATGTACAGGAGGCAACGCGAAGAAATTCTTTCTCGCAGAGGTGTTGAAGGGATCCTCCGCATCATTACACTTTCCGTGGCAATTGCTTTCATTTGGAGCCAACTCATTTACATCAAGGAAACTTTGGATTCTGTTCCTTATATTTCTCTTGTCATGCTAGGCGTCCAAGCTCTTGGGTATAGCCTTCCGCTGATCACAGGTGCAGAAGCTCTCTTCAAGAGGATGTCTTCCGAAACTTATGAAAGCTCATCTTATGATCTTGACAATAGTCAGTGGATCCATGTAATTGATTACACAGTGAAGCTTCTTGTACTGGTTGCATTTTCACTAACTCTAAGGCTATGCCAGAAGGTGTGGAGATCCCGAATTAGATTACTCACACGCAGCCCTCTTGAACCACATCGTGTCCCGAATGACAAGTGGGTACTTATTACTGCCTTGATCATACATGTGATTGGGTATGTGATTGTTCTCATTTATCATTCTGTGAAGACCACCCAGAGTCCACTACAGTCAGAAAAAGTTATAGATTCATCAGGAATTCCCAGTACACTGCGGGAATGGGAAACTGAACTAGAGGAGTATGTTGGTCTTGTTCAAGATTTTTTCTTGCTTCCTCAGATTATTGGGAACTTAATGTGGCAGATCCACTGTCAGCCACTCAGAAAACTATATTTTGTTGGGATAACAGTGGTTAGACTTCTCCCTCATATTTATGATTGCATAAGATCTCCGATTCCTAATCCCTACTTCTCCCAAGAATACGAGTTTGTGAACCCACGTTTGGATTTTTACTCCAAGTTTGGGGACATTGCCATACCTGTAACAGCAGTTTTACTAGCAGTTGTAGTCTATATTCAGCAAAAGTGGAACTACGAGAAGCTCAGTCAAACCCTTATTTTGGGCCGGTGTAGGCTTCTCCCGCTAGGGTCCAGAATGTATGAGAGGCTGCCTTCCAGGTCATTTGAAGCTGAACTCGCTTCTGGTGTCAACAAAAATGACACAGATGAGAAAGAGCATGATGATGAAGAATGATTCAGGTTCCTTCCATAAACTACTGACAGAGTGAGTTGTCATGTATTTTGCAATTATTGTGTTGTGATGGTTTATTGTTAAACTTGAGGTAACTTTTTGATGAATAAATTATGAAAACTTTGTTTTACCTTCATCTGCTGATTCATTTTAAAATGGGGTTTTATGTTCATGAAATATTTACTTTGACGTCCGTTTGTCCACTGTATTCAACTAGACTGGGATTTGTTTGATGTAGGACACTTTTAAGTGTTTAGTAATTTTTATATTTTAGGTTTCTTATTTATTTTCTTTTTATAATTTTTTTTACAGGAAGTTTAATTTTAGTTAGTTTTTAGGAATTATTTTCTTTTTGCTATTACGTTTCTTTATGTTAATAATTTTAATAAAATCGATATTTGTATTGATAATTAAATGAATAAAAAATTAATTATGCACTTAACAATATACATATTTGTATTAGGTTTTATTATAAATATGTATACTGTTAAGTGCATAATTAATTTTTTTATTCATTTAATTATCAATACAAATATCTATTTCTCTAAAATTATTCTTTGTTTTGTGGATTCAAAACATTCACCTTGTGGATTCAAGGTATAATGTTCCTCGTGAACAAATTTATCACTTCTGCTTATGTCAGTTGATATGAGAACCTCGTCTTTTCCCGTTCTGATGGCAGATGATCGTTTTTGTGACAACCTCGCTGGCGACGAAGATCGAAAGAGAGTGGCTCCTTTTAGGGCCGAATATCAAGACTGTTAGCGTAAAACTTAGCAAACGTTGCAAGATATTCAAGCAATGCTTGTTAGGCTTAAATTGGGTCTAGAGCAAAACCGCGATGACAATAGGTTGCGCAACGACGTAGATCGTTTTTATCATGTTCGTAATCGCAACCCCTTCCCTCCGCATAGTTTTGGGGGTCATAGATATGCACGAAGATATCATGATTATAAAGATTATGACTTTAGGAATTTTCCTCCTAGTTTTGATGGTCTCATGTTGAAGATTTTCTTGATTGGCCGGAAGATTTTGAGAGTTTCTTTAATTATATGAGGATTCTAGAGGATAAGAAGGTGGCCCTCGTCAGTCGTCACATACAATTTGAAGGAAAGAGCTTTTAATTGGTGGGAACAGTTGCGAATTACTTGTGCAAGACAAAAAAAAACACCTATACGATCTTGGTTGGAGATGAAAAGACTTTTGAAAGTCAAATTTCTTCCACTAGATTATGAGGGGTAGGAGGAGATCCAATTTATGCCATAGGTGTACAAAGGTTCAAGCCTATACCAATTCATCATGGTCTCCAACTCAACATCCTCCTCCAATGAAAAGGTTTACACGAGAAGGTAAAATCATACCAAAAGTTGTACGTGTCCAAGAATTGCAATCCCGTGGTAGTTCCCAAGAATTGGAGAAAAAAGGAGATACAAAGAATGAAGAATTGGAGAGGGTTCCTTCAATTATTACAAGTGATGGTTGTAAGACATTCAACACAACCAAAAAAGGTGGTGGTGATAACAAATTAACAAGGAAAATTTGGTTCTAAAACAGCATTCATGCTTATTGAAACCCAAAAGTGCAGCTATGGTTTCTTCAGTCTAGTTACCATTGCGGCAGGTGAGCAACCACCATCAACAACAATCTCATCAAGATCGTGAAAGTACAACAAAATTGCTAGGACCCGCCACTTGTTTTGAGCATGCTAGAAAGGTTGAAAATTCACATTCTAAGCTGGTGACCAATTGTGAGCGTGAGGTTGAAGTAGAAGGAGATAATGTTGTTGTACAATATATATGGTTAATATATGGTTAGTGGTGCTACGGAAGTGCTGCGGACGTTTTTGCGGTGTTAAACCTGTGGCTTTTCAATGTCATTCAACAGTCTTCAAACAAAGAATTTTCCCTTTATAATTGCTGTTGAAAATTGAACGAATTCTTTCAAATACTCCGACACTGAACCAACTTAAATAGCTCATTTTTTTAGGTATTAAATGCATTTCTTGCTTCATTGAGTTATAAAAAATAAATAATAATTGAAATTAGTTAGATTGTCAATTAAAATAAATAAAAAATATTATAAATTTACAAAGTCAAAAATTTATTACATCTTCAACGTTAAAGCCACTAGGAATATGATATTGGATTTGTTTGTAAAATTCAGAAAATTTGTTAACAGTTTTTTTATTGTGTGATAAACGATTTTACAAACATGATACATTTCGAGACGTCGTGCCCCCTGGTTGTCGAATAAAATATTCATGGATTCATTATTAATACGTGATTTTTTGTTGATCCGAACCCGTTATTAGATATTCTCTAATGTCAATCCATACTTTGCATAATGCTTCATCTTCTTCAATGGACCAATTTTGTTTCGTACGCCTAGAATTATGTTGGGTTTTAGATGGTTGGAATTGAGAAATGAGGTTGGAATTGGGGATGTGGTGGGTATGGAAATAAGAGTATTGGGGTTGGAATTGGGGATGTGATAGGTATGGAAATAAGAGTATTGGGGTTGAGATGGATTTTTTGATTGAAAAAAGTTTGAAGAATCTAAATTATAATTATAATTGGATTGCGGTAGTAATTCAGAGTCATGAGATTGGTTGAGAAGGGGGCGAAAGAATGGAAGTGGAGGATCCATGGAGATGAATGTTAAAGAAAATATTGAGAGAGAATTATTGAAGATGAGAATTAGTATTTATAGAGTGTAATTTTTTAAAAAAAATAAAATAAAATAGTCGTTTAAAAGAACTGTTTCAAAACATATCAAGATGTCAAATTGAAGAGACAGGAGCAGCCAATAAAATATTAAACAAAATAATAGATCATATCCAAACACTTCTTTGTCTATAGAGAAGAGCATAGAGAAGACTATGTGGGGGTCACAAAAATGGTACTCTATTTCATGCGCATACCACCCCTATTTTTCTCTATTTTTCACACTTCTTCTCTATTAATTGTCGCCCATCAGATGCTCCGAGGGATAAAGGTCAAGACCTGGAAAGGCCTACTGGGTTTGGGAAGTGTGACAAGAATGGACCTACCCATTAATTACCTCACAGGTATTTCAAGTGGATTTCAATACCTATCCAAAGTCATTGAATTACAACCTTTGGACAATTATATGAGAGCTCATCTTTCTCGTGGGGTTGGACTGTTCAAACGAAATTGGGTAATTGAATTTCTGTACAATTGCCCAACAACAATAATGACTCCTCATATTTGTACCCATTCTAATTTGATTTTTCTGAATTTGGAGCCCATTGAAGTGGGCCAGAAGAATTTCATTCTAGATGAAATTGGGTCTGGTCAAAAGTTGGAAAGACTTGATTTATTTCTTCTTGAGTTGCCAAGGGAAATTGAAAGGCTGGTTGTGGTTAGTTTGGATGATTCGCTTTGCTATCCAATTTTTAATGATCTTTGTGTTAAAATATGTGCAGTCATCTATGACATGATGGGCTAGACGCGTCTTCCATTTATACCCGCTACCATTGAATGGATTTACACACAAAGAGATATCAGTAGCAATGGATTTGAGACAGCGAGTGTTTGGGTTTTTGAGGATGCAAGAAGTAAGAAAATTGGGAACCTCAATTGGGAAAATGGGGTTTTTTGGAAAAGAAAATCAGAAGCTTTGGTGTTTGACAAATATTGAGACAGCAAGTGTTTGGGTTTTTGAGGATGCAAGAAGTAAGGAGGTTAATGATGTTCACATTCTTTATGGAGATGTGGAATTTATTCAAGGTCGTCTACAAAGTGCAGTGAATATCGCAATTTCTTATATGACAATGGGCTATAGCCGAGACTTCCATCAACTTGATCTAGATGTCAAAATGCATCATGACGAGGGAGGAACTCTACTGCAGATTAAATTTGAGGAAGAGTTCTTTTGAAGTAGAAGGAACTGATGTATGACACTTTTATGTGTTTAGTAATTTTTATATTTTAGGTTTCTTATTTATTTTCCTTTTATAATTTTTTTTATGGAAAGTTTAATTTTATGTGTACTGCTAAGTGCAAAATTAATTTTTTTTTTTATTCATTCAATTATTAATATAAACATAGATTTATTTGAAATTATCCTTTCAAAACACTCACCTTGTGAATTCAAGGTAACTTGTTTCTCGTGAACAAATTTATCGCTTCCGCTTACATCATTTTTAAATTCGTTCATTGAAATAAAGTCATTTCATCATCTTTTATATAGCTTTTGAAACATAACAATGTTTTATATCTGCCAATTTTACACTACTATTTACTACTTTTATTATTTCCACTCTCTCTTGAATTGTTTGTGACCTTAATTGCATCTTTTAGTCATCTTTTTACAAAAACCCTGTAAATGCAAGAAAATATATCTCCGAATTTCTTTAGAGTTTCATTACATTTTTCGTTTTTTTTTTTTTTTCTCTTTCTCTTTCTCTTTCTCTTCTATGCCTATTTATAGGCAATTACAAGTGTTATAACAAATTTCTTATGTTGGGCTCTTAGTCTTCGGGCCTTCTTCCTTTTGGGCTTGACTCAATCCGGTGGATCTCAGGTGTTGGGCCTGTTGTATTACTTTTTAAGCTTGGGTTAGAACCTGCTGCCCAACCCGATGCTTTCCTCTCGGGTCAGATCCGGCCCACTCTATCTTCAGTATCCTTAACTGCCTTCATAATTACTCCCTAATAAATTAGGGGGTAATTATTAATGGCTGCGAATCTGTGACGGCCCAAGTTTTTCAACCGGTACGTCAGTGATGAATCGAAAGATGATCCGATAACGGATCCGAAATGCAGAAGCAAAATATAAACAATGGTCTCTAGAGATATAACATGACTCTAAGAGACCATGGTGACCCTCAACGAGGTCACGGGACCCAAAGGAATCAAATGCGGAAACAACATTTCAAAAACGGACAAGAATGCACCTAGGGGCAAAATAGTCATTTCCAGCCTAAAAGTGGGTGCAACAGAGCACACCATTGGAAAGACAATGAAAAATCAATGAACTTAGACTCAAAAATTGCTTGATTCGGAATCCGGATGAAGAAGATATGGCTAACGGAAGAAGAATGGGCAAAACGGTCAAAAAGATGGCAACCAAGAACATCTAACCGGTTAGGAGACCTTCCTAACCGGTTAGGAAG